GTCTGATATTGTTGGGCACTTCAGCACCCACTGCAAGCTCACCAATTAGTAGATACAGTACTTTTTGCAAGGTAGTCTCATCGATCTTGATAGTTCTTCCCTTCACTACACTTGAACCATCCTCCAGACTGTAATTGAATATATACTCTTCTAACAATTCTACATCAATAAATGAATATATACTCTTCCAATAATTCATCATCATAAATATTATTATTTAGGATGAAGTGATTTTCAGGAGCTCCAATTGGCAGAATTGATTTCACATAGAACGTGCAACATGGAGAGAAGAGACCTTGCTATAAGCTGAGTTTTATTCCTAAAATCATGTTTGATATTGGTGGAGCCCTAGTATCGATACTGAGTAGAATCTTGTAAGTTTGTAGATATGTAACCAAATTAGACTTATGTTAGAATGCATTGTGGTGAATTCAAGAATAATATTTTAAAAAATTCAAAAATATAAATCTTAATATCAATAAATAAAATAAAATATTGAATGTATGTAGTTGTAAGTTTAGAGCTTATATTCTCGTTGATATTTTTCTAACCATTTTAGTGCACAACTTCCATTAAAAACATGTATTCTGTATTTTTTTGGACCTCCCTCTACTTTTATGTATCTTGTGACATTGATAGGGAGGAAAAATACTCTTTTTATTGTTATCTATTGTATGGGTCTAAATATATAATTAGGTGGTTAAAAAATATAGAGATGATTAGATGGCAAACTGAGTATGTATGTGGCATGGAAATATAAATGGAGAGATGAGGGTGCAATTAGAGACATGTCAATGTGATGCAGTGTGTAGAAGGATCGAAGAAGCATGGAATAGATATTTGATATGTTGGCAACTTCATGGTCATAGAAGCTTAGAGAATCTAGAATGTGATACATATAGAGAGGGTGTGCAACAAGAATGTCATGAATAAAATTTGCACAGTCAAAATATGATAAGGCATTGATAATAACGTGCATAAAGAAGTGTGTTGTGATCGATTGGTGGTGTTTGAGATGAAAAATCTTAAGACAAGGCATTGATAATAACGTGTGCGAAGAAGCGTGGTACAATAGACTCGTGGTGTTTGAGATAGAAAATCTTATGATAAGAGAGAGCAAAAGCATTGGTAGGCCAAGACGCTCATAGCCAAGTCCCAAATCATGCAAGGTGATTAGTGCCAATGGCATAAACATGATGTTGGAAAACAAGGAATGAATGGAATATTGTCATATTATAAATGCTTATAGTATGTAAAAAATAGTTAAAATATATTATGTATTAATAAATTTAGATGTATGTTAGAATAGTTAATAGATTAATTTAAAGAGAGTGGATATAAGAAACTTTATTTTGAGTTTTATCTTTATTGATTATAGCATTTTAAAAAGTTATAGGACCTAAATATTTAGTATAAAGCCTTAAGAAGAAATTAGAGTCTAAAGATAAAAAATCTTAACTATTAGGAGGTTTATTAGGAGGGATAAAAGTAAGATGTAGTTGGATGAAGGCAAGGAATGGAGATCTTCATTCCTATTGATTAAAGACCATGTCCAATGGGCTTCAAGAAAGCTTCTCGAGGCCTTAGTAGAGATTAGGATTTTTTTTTTGAGGTTATTTAAGCTTTAGAGGCTAGATCAACAAGTTTAGGTTTTTAGATACGGATTGAATGTAAATTTTGTGTAATTTAGAGTTTTTATGAAGGAATTATTGGAGCTCAAAATTAAGTTGTTAATTTTATACCTATTGTCACTCTTTGGGGCATAACATACGTTTACAAAGAGCAACAAAGAATCAATAATTAGAGTTGGAGAAAGCACTTCTATGACTATATTTTTTATATATTATTTGATGAATTTATAATTTGGATGAAGGAGTTATAAAGAGTTAAAGTCAGTACATCCAAATCAAAGGTAGTAAATAAGTGATTTTGTTCATAGTAATGGTTGGAGCCATATCTTCAGTTTTTAGAAATTTTTTGGCTCAAATATTTTAGAAAAAGTAGATTATTATGTTAAAAAGCTATATATACAAATTTGGTGGTATTTGAATGCTTAGTTTGTGAGTAATGAATAAAATTGCATGCATGTATATAAAAACTAGGGTTTGATGCTACTATTAGGGTTTTGATGATATCTTAAGATCTGCAACGAATTTATAGTTAAAATTTATTGTGGTAGTTGTTTGAAGTACACCAGTACTATGTGTAAAATTTGAGTATATTTAAATAGTCCAATTAGAAGATATGAGTTATTGAAGTTCAAGAATAATACCCCATAAAGATATTTAAGGATTTAGAGGTTTTTATCATATTTTGGTTGTTTTGGGAACTTAAGACTTATTTATTTGATATAATAGCACCTAAAAGTGTGATAGATATATCTATATATATATATATATATACAAACTTGATCTTTCTTATTTCAAGACTTGATTGATCAATTAGTGGCAGCAAGGAGCCGAGTACTTTATTAAGGCAAATTTTTTCTACTTTGATAGCGTATTGTCATAGATATTACAATGTTCGATTGAGCGTGAATCATGGAGCAGGGTCAAGGGGATCAAGGGATATGTTGAGGGTCAAAAAATGCTAGATTGAGCATGAGTCAAGGAGTTCAGTGTGTTGAATAGAACCAAGTTAAAGCTTGAATTCCTAATATCGCAAATAGATGATCCAATTGACAAAGTTGAGGCTAGAACATATTGATTTTTCAAGTTGCATTCAAGGTTTCAATTTTGGATGTTATAAGTTGCATTGTACCATTGTAGGTTATAAAGTACATGAGATTGTACTAAATAATAAGAAAGATGAAAAGTGGCCATAAAGATGAGAGAGAATTATGGATATAAAGAAGGAGAGGGTGGAATCATGAGGATATTATTCACCTTCACGAAGATCCTCACCGCATGTGATCTATGAATTAGCATTGGTGGACAATTGAGACAGGCTATTACTGGTAGGAGATTGACATGTCTCAGGAGCCAAGGGCATTGGAGTTAGGTTCAACTAAAGATGGAGGATCATACTATGAAAGATTGATGGAGGGTGGGCTTTAAAGGGAGAAGAGCACAATACTATGAAGGACAAAGGTTGGAGGGAGAGAGTGTGGGAAAGAAATAGGAATAGATGGATAAATCATGCATATAGAACAAGAACAAGAGAAGGAAGGGCAATGGTAGGAAGGAGTCAAGAGTGGAGATCGAGCAGCGTAGTGTGTCGAGGAACAAGAGTCGGAGAGAGAGTCAGAAGCTCGAAGTTGAGAGCAAACACAATAACAATCTGGAAGACAAGGATGACATAATTCCAACGCAGCAAAGACTATTATAGGGTAGAAAGCAGAAAGAGAATGAAGATGACATAGTTTCGAGGAGGCAAAGACTATCATAGGACGGAAAGTAAAAAGAAGGAGAGAATATATAGGAGACGATTGAGAAGGAGGTTGCAAGAGCATAGAAGAGGAGAGTGGACAATGATGTTGGTGGAGTTTGCTAGAGTTTTAGTTGTAAGTGGCAAGCAAAGATGTGCAGAAAGGATGGCATGAGCGTGCACATCTATTGAACATGTACATAACACAATGCAAGAAAATATTAGCATTAAGGCTTGTCGTTGTGGTGATAGTATTAGATCATAGCAAAGAACAAGGAATAAATAACATCCTCGATGAAAGAATCAAGGTACACCTTTATAAACTCTATGCATGCATCTTACATACTAAAAAATCCGAAATCCATATACCCTAAATTCCAAAAAATAAAACACATAATTTTGAGAAACAAAAATATTTGTATAGGTCTTTGTGACAATATATGCTCTGAAAAAATTTCAATAGTGACTAAAATATGATAAGCTATGAGATATTTAGGATTAAAAATCTATTGGATGCCCTTGTAATCCTAAACTCTAAAACCCTAAATCTTAAACCTTAAAACCTGGTCTTTGTCAATTTTATGCAATAAGTATATTTTTAAATAAAACATTAATTGAAGATATCTACATACACAGATGTTTGGACAACAAAAGATCCATTTTTGAAGTGGTGTACAAACTTGAACATGATGTGATGAAGAACTCAAAACAACAACCAATTATAGTTGTCAATGTAACAAAAATTGAATATAATATTTTATTTGAAGCTGCTCATAATATAATATATCTTCAATGCCTACTTGAAGAATTATAAATTATTGGAAACAAACCTAAATATTGACTAACAATTTGAGTTACATAAATTTGATATACAATCCAATACTATACATAAAAATAAAGCACATTGAAATACAAGATTACTTTATTTGAGAGAAAAATGAAGTTAAAAACATTCAAATGCATTATGTTTCTACTTCTCAACAAAGAGTTGATATACTTACAAAGTTGCAAATCCTAAACTTGGTGCTTCCAAAGGTTAAAAAATGCACTCAATATACAAAAAAAATCATGTTTGGAAATTAGATAAACTTAATTTAATCGATTCCAATGTAGAAGAGCTATCAATTTAGAGTTCCTTTCCAGTACCTTTATGCTTAAAATTAGGAGCTCTAGAGCTTACCTTGCTGAATATATTATACCACCACTTGATAAGATCACCAAAATAACTTTTCTAAAAACGGGCATTATTATACTTCATCTTTGAAAAATATGACTCTAATTGCATAGTTCAAAATGGATCAAAAGAGGTACAACTTTAAGTCTAAATTAAGAAGTAGCACAAGGACCATTGACTTCAATCGAAGAAGAAACAAGATTTTAAATCTGTGAAGCACTTGCCAGACATGATTCGCAAGGACTCCCATCCTTGAATTCACCTGCAGAGGGAGTCTCATCAGCAGTCTCATCACTCGAAAAATCTCTTAAGGACTGCAACGGTTGAACAAACACTTAAACAAGAACCAGATTGCAAAGACGACGTAGCAAGACAAATACGATGCATATCCCCATGAAGAAAACTTTCCACTGGACACAAGTCAATACACAAGAAAGCAAAACCCTGTGAAACTAACGAATGAGAAAACTCTAAACAAGCATTCTTAACGATGAGAACAAGAAACTTAATGTTTTTAGATCGTCTACCTGTATCAACAACTCCCGAACAGCTTTAGACAACTTAAATCTGTGTGGTAACATGCTGCGCGTGTGAAAGTTGAGCGTGAGAGGGAGTGTTAATATGAAACGCACCCCTCCACTTTCTGTTCTAGAACATTCATCACGTTGGACAAGAGAATCATTGTTTCATCGTGTCTTTAGATAACGACACGTGTACAAAGCTAAGTAGTTTACATGTTATCCGAACCCTAATTTAGAACAACTGAAACTTCGATTAGCCGCTGCTGATCTGTACTTTATCTCTTACAGTCGAGACACTAATCACGGAAGTAAAATAGAATGTACTCTTAATTGCGTTGTTGGTGTATTGTGAATCTCCCTCAGTTTTATCCACTGTCGGTGGCAACTTTGCCGTATGGTACGACTCTCTTTGCAAGATTTGTCCGTGCAATGTCGATCTAGACATTCGAAAACTGTTCATTATGTATCAAAAATGAAGTAGCTGCCGACTGGTCGAAATCCTGGGACGTCGGAGACCAAGGGCTTGCAAGATGCGGATCTCTCCAGTGCTTCCAGCGATGTCCGGATCGACGCGCAGCCGGGTGACAACCCAGACACTGAGAGAAGCTCCAGCATCTCCACTACTTTGCTCATGTGGGGTCTCTCTTCGGGATCCAGGGAGACGCAATGGCATGCGACTTCCAGCACCAGGTCCAGGTCCACGCTTGGGACTGTGTCCCTCAGATTCTGATCGACGATTTCCTTGGCTTTGCCGGCGATGTGAAGCTCCCGGACCCAGCCCGCGAGGTTGGCGTACTCATTCGCCAGGGACTCGTCCACTGCCCTCCGCCCGCTAAGAAGCTCCAGCAAGATCACGCCGTAACTGTACGAGTCTACTTTCTCCGTGGCCCGGCCCGATTTGGCGAACTCCGGTGCGACGTAGCCGAATGTGCCGCCCACGTTGAGGGTCACGTGCGTGTCAGTAGTGGTCACCAGCTTCGCTAGCCCAAAGTCGGAAAGATAGGGCTCGTACCCGGTGTCGAGAAGTATGTTAGATGAGCTGATATCGCCATGGATGATGCGCGGCTCACAGGCGTGGTGAAGGTATGCGAGGCCGCGAGCCACCCCGAGCGCTATCCGGTACCGAATCGACCAATCCACCACAACGTTCTCCTCCTTCTCGCCGTGGAGGAGTTGATCGACATTGCCGCCTGGCAGATAGTCGAAGATTAGTAGCTTCACTGAGGGAGATGAGCAGAAACCCCGCAGCCTCACTAAATTCCTGTGCTTCACGGTTCCGAGAGTGCTCAACTCGTTTTCGAAGCTACGCTCCGACTCTAAGCATGTCTTGAGCTTCTTAATTGCCAAGGTCGGATGATCGTTCACTTGTAATTTGTAGACGACTCCGTAACCGCCCTCTCCGATGATGTGTTTCTTGCGAATCAGGCGCACGGCACGTAACATTTCCTTGGACGAAGGGAGGTCCATCGTAGCCCCTTGGAACATTACTAATTTCCCGCCCGATCCGAGATCGATTTCGATGTTGCTATCCTTCCTCATCCAACGCACGATGATGAGCACTGCAATGACGAATTTAAAAGAGAGGAACAAGCCCACCGACAGGAGAACTATCTGCGCCGCGCTAAAAGAAGACTTGCTGGACGACGCTGATCGGGAGGGTCCCAAAGCAGGGGCAAGTGGGGAAGATGAATCACACGAAGACAGCCCTTGTATATCACCTCCACATAGATCGGTGTTCCCGACAAAGCTGTTATCCAGCCCAAACCCATCCAACATGAGAATGCTGTAATTCTCTTTAAGGTTCAAACATCCTTCGCCGAGGACCACTGCACTTACTACATGACTGAGATAGAAGAGTGCACTTACGAGGATGTATTGAAGCGCCGGAGAGCTCCCTCTGGAACTCTTCCGACAAGAAGATTGTTGGATAAGTTCCTGCGACATGAAATAATACGTTCGGTCAGTTCATGGAAATCAGGAACGCAGCACATGGGATAATCAGCCATGGCATTCCTCTGCAATTGAACCCGGATCACATCGAATTCCCTAAACATCAATAGAATGTCCATTGGTGGAGAGTGAGGTGTAGACTTGGGTGAGTGGTCCTCACAGATAAAGTAACCCTATCATCGCACTAAAACTTTCAGGAATTGGACCTTCGAGCTCGTTGTTCGACAAATCCCTGTAAAAGAAGTGCAAAAAAACTCGATGAGAGGATATCTGATTACAAGCCTATTCGTGACTTACCATTATACGGATCAAAGTAATGTATCACTTCGCAAGGCATGACAAGAAGAGAAACATGCAGGGGCAGAGATTACGTACATAAGGCGGAGGTCCTTCAGTGATCCCAGAGTTGCTGGGATGTTCCCGGAGATAGCATTGCTGCGCATATTCCTGAATCAAAGGTAAACCAACGGCAATTTCCACTCAGACACAGAATACATTGTACAAGGATGAACGCGCATGATTAGAAACGGACGCAAACTACCGGCCACAGAGTCCACTCCAGGAAGACTGCACTAGCATTGAACACGCTGTGCAAGAAAACGATAGCTAGAGACACTTACAAGACTTCCAAGCTTGTGAGGTTGCTGAAAGACTCAGGAATTTTCCCGCGGAATTGATTGTTTAGGAGGCTTCTGCAAAAATCATTCGAGTTTAGGGGACAGACATTTGAAATCGGTTTTGGTAGGATTATCAATGTTGGTCACATAGGTTCATAATATGGGATAAGGGATGGGTTGCGTACAAGCGTTTTAGCTGCTTCAAACCGGCTAACTGAGAAGAAATGGTCCCCGTGAGATTCGCGTACGGGAGATCTCTGCAATTTCACCACAAAAACGTCAATATTTCGTAACGTCAACATGCTCAGAAGGAATGTGGATATAGATATTGCTAGCCTAAACAACTTGGTTTCTAAGAGCAAAATAGTCGAAGCTTCAGTTGCGAACATGAAAGCGACGGCGTTGGTCGAATTTCGGCAAACGACACCTTTCCAGTTGCATGGAGTCTCATCTGAAGCATTCCAGTTGCTGAGAACGCCTGAAGGATCAGTCAGGCGTTGCTTGAAGGACTGTAGTAGTAGCCCTGCAATTCCTCCAACAAAAACTTTGACACATCAGTTGTCCTGAAGTGACGGAGTAACTGTAAGAAATTTTAGTTGAAATGGCCACACGGAACTGAAACATATATGTTCTTCATCTGCCCACCCCAGACGAGCACTGCGAGGAATTTCCATCGGCACTAACCTTCAGAGTTCAACGCCTCACAAAGCCGGTAATGTAGTGCCAGAAGTAAGAGGCTTAGATGTAGTAGTCTCGGCGCAGTATGCTTCAGAGTCAGCACCATCTTGGCTATCTCTACTCCCTCACTATACTCTCTATGCGATGCTTTCCGCTGTTGATTTTTTTTAGAAACTCTTGCTGACGAACGAGATTATCTCGGAGCACACATAGTATCGGCTTCTTCATAAAGTCTACTGCTACTTCTACACTATGCCGAGTAGCGGCCACTGCGTAATAGGAATACCAAACTTGCGGAAGATCACGAGTTTTTAATTGACACTCAAGCGTTCAGTTCCTATGAAAATGCAGTGTTCTCTATACTTGAATTACTAAAGTCAAGCCGCTCGTGAAATTCATTCCGTCCGGACTCCCTCCGGCCTCCCTCCGAAACGAGAACCGCTACGAGGATAGGAGGAGCTAACCAACAGTTGCTGCAAAGGTCAATTTGACAAGTCCATACCTAAAAAACCTGGTTTGTAGAAAGAAATTTGCAACTTGCATTGCAACTCCTTGAGGTGGACAACACCAATGCCAAAAACTTCGTAATCGGAAGGGCTCATTTGCAATGCCAAACAACCTTTCAGTGGAAAGCCGGCAAGCGATCCTCAAAGAATCGCTATGTGAGTATGGGATCGAACGATGAGTGGCTATCCATCTCATGATGTGGATTCGTCACAGTGCAAGTCCAGGAAACTAGAGACAGATCAATTGACAAATTCCCACAACTGTGAAGACAATGCCTGGAGGCACGGTGAGGCAGTTGCACCGTCTCAGGGCTTCGTCATTACCTCACAAATAGGGTACCCGGATTCTCGATGGTAGCATTCAAAAGGAGCCAACTCCCCCAGTAATCCAATGCGGCATTGAGACCTATCCATAGTTGCTTCCTGTGATTGCATCTAAATAAAGTCTCACAAATATTTCATATTTTGTGCATGATCTTACCATTTGAGGTGTCTATTCCCTTCTGCCACTCGTTGTGTTCTGGTTGTAGAAAGACAGAGCAATTGGCTTCAGGGTCATAAATTTACTCATTGGACGACTGACAGCAGGGATGGGAGTTGAGGTGGTGGGGAACAGCTGAAAATCGTCGCTCACACTCGCTCACGGATGAATGCAGCCCAAGCATATCTGAAGCAGACAGTCCTCTTCTTGAAAACACGACCAGCGAAATGGATTAGTCATCTCATGTGGAATAGTTGGAAAACGAAGCAAATAGAGGGACGCCGGAATTCTTCATCCACCTCCATCCGGCACGATTCGTGTCTTTGCTGGGGAGGAGGTTTGCCTTGATAGGATCTAGGGGGGGAATTGGTAAGAGCAACGTAGTACACACGTGATCGAAGGCGGAAAGGATCATCGGAACTCTCAGGATATGCCGGGGACGATTTCTATATTTAGATGAAACTGGCAGAAGAGACAGGCCTTCCAGCAAGGACAAGTAGGTGCAAAATGCAATTACGGTGCCAACTTGCCGCCAATGGGAGCAGAGTGAAAGCTAACTTCCTGCCAAAGATGTGATCCTCAATCAATAGAAACAAGTTCATTTCCGCATCTCCAGTGACCACATCGTAGGATTTTTCTTTCACTTTTCTCTGTTGGCATCAACCACCAGATTAATCTGTACCAGGTGGAAGTTTTATTCTTACCTTGAATCGACGGCTACTTATTGCAGCCCAAGGTGATGTATTTTGACAGTTAATTCTTAAGTAATACTGTTCTCCCAGCCTGGAAGGTGACCAGGACCCGACTCTCTGCAGAGAAGAGTTTGAAGAATGACCCCGTTGGGATCCTATTGGCTAGGATTTCCCTGCTGCAGCCACCACATTGAGGTTTATTTGCAGTCCACGCTTTCTACACCTTTGGGTTGTCTGTGACAGAAAATCTAAACTCATGCCTTGAAGTGTCCAGCAATGCGGAGTACGGTGTGTTTCAGCATCCTAATAAAACTTATGATAGAGCCTTCTGGAAACTTGATTCAATCCAACCTCAACCACTCTCGATGAACACGGTAAAGACGACGAGGTCAGTTTCCCATCAGTGGGAAGGATGCGGATAGAATCTGACAATTCTCAAATTCATGAACCGTTTAAACTTAGGCACATAAAGACCTGTAAAGTCGCAGGATGAATGATGATCCATCTTTCCCGATTTCAGGATACCAGAGCTGGCTGCACATCAGCGTTACATTTTTTTTTTTTTTTTTTTTTTTTGTATCATTTTGCTTAACTTCTCAAAGACGTTATGAATGACTGGTTAAAATTACAGGAAGTCGGAATTACTAAGATTTTCACCGAAGATTAGCTTCCACTGGTGTAAATACATCAAGATTGCCAACTTAGCATTTCCAAGACGAGGTAAACCCGGAGGCCTTTCGGGGATGAATAGTTGGCACATATGATATTTTCACTGCCCCACTTTATTCAACTCATGAACGAAGGCAGTAACCATTCATTTCTAAAAAGGCTTCTGGCCTGCTCAAGTGGCACCCGCGATACTCTCTAGAGTCAGGAACCTACCACGACAGCCTAAGCCACCGCCGCTCTAGGTCGAGAAAACTTCAAGGAATGCTAGGATGATCCCTCTTTAATAAGCCCCATATCAAAAAACATGACTGTTGATGAAGATTCCTCTGTAATGCATAAAACAATCATTTCACCAGTGAGCATATGGGTTCGGTGCACTTTCTCATCATACCAACCGCTGCAAATTTGCACGGAAACAAAATGACAATCTCAACCCCATTGCGACCTTATGACAGAAACTAATGAAAGAAAATGCTTAAATGTCTCCATCCCCACACAATCCCCCTCCTAATCCTCCTCCTCGCCCTCCTCCTGCACGCCATGAACGGCCACTAGACAATATCTGCAGGTGCATGGACGCCAGACCTGGAATACACGACCATGCAACAGCACCGCAAGCCTTCCCATGCCAGCATGATGAGCGCCAACCTGTACAACTCATAGTCAGGAACTAAAGCAGCTGGATCCCCTGCAGGTGTGCCGCAAAAGTGAGATGGCACTGGAACAATCAGCTTGTGGGAAATAGCTCGTCATTAAGTGAGGTGGGTGGGGAGGGAGTCTATATATGGGACTGAGGACTTTCGGAGCTCCTTCCACGGCGTGGACTTCTACCCCATGGACATGAAGCGGCGGGTTGCCATGTACCAGGGCTCGTCGTGTGCATGGGCTGCATGGCTCCAAGCACCTCATCGAGAATCTCGTGACCGTGCATGCCGCTGCTCCAATTTTGCTTGACGTGGATTGTTAATCGCCTTCACATAATTTTCAGCTTTTGTGTGATTTTAGTACAACAGGTTGAAAATAGTCGGAATTTCGGGCTTTTAATCCTGAACCATGGGTCTACTTCATGGCGTAGCATCTAATTACTATGTTATTGCAGAACTGAATCAAAGTCAATCTAGAGAAGGATTCCCGCTTAGATGCTTTCAGCAATTCTTCGTGCTTTTACCATTATATAAATAATCAACAAGTTGCATAATCTCCTACTTTGAATCATTACTTAAAGGTCTTGTGTTAAGTGGAACCCATGCAAACAACATAGTATTATTATCCACTATGAGCTTTTTGGAATCTATAAAATCATTCTAATTAAATTCTAATATTAGATGGAGCAAGTTGGAGAATGTTCTTGAGATGTTTTTTTCTTGTAGAAATTGTGGACATTTGACTAAAAAGTTGTAATCACATGAATCTCTTCAAGAAATAAACTTAGACTTAATAGAAAATATTGATTAAACGAACAATTGATGACTTTGGTAGAATAAGCTATGATATATGTAGAAAATTTGTTTAATTGGTTGCTAATTTTAAAACTAGGACTAGAAATAGCCTTATTCAAGTTGGTATTCTTTCGTTAATATTTTCATTGAATTATATTTTGTCTTATTTCTTCTTTATTAATACGTAACATCTTTTGGTAGATATTATAGTGGCATGATGTTGTTGATTTCTATTTTTTAAGCAATTTTTGCCTACAAATTCTTAATATTTAATTTTTTCTTCTATTTAAATAAATCTAAATAGTTATTTAAAAGATTATTTTTAAAAAAAAATTATCATTGATTCTTTTAGATATTACAAAAAATTAAATCATATCACAAAGTAAAGAAGTTTTATATCTAGTGCTAAATTTGTGTTATATTTTAAAATAAAAAACTATCTTATAAACATCTTAATAGTATAAAGACGATTAGAATAAAACAGAAAAAGATTTATTTTTAGAATTTAATTAATTAATTATTTAAAATAAAAAATTAATAATTTAAAAAATAATTAATAATTTTATATTATTAATTAATAAATAAATACATCTTAAAATATAAATTAAAAAATTATTTTATTATATATATATATATATATAGATTTAAAATCAAAATAAAACATAAAAGACAAAGATATCACTAACATATATAATTACTTAGTTTAAAGAAGTTAAATAGAAATAAATAGAAATAAGTAAATTTGATAATATCTTATGGAAAAGCTTCTTAGAAGCTCTACAGATGCAGATTTTTCTTTATACATATTTGTAGGTGATTGATGGGTGGAAAACTTTGCCAACAAATTGGCTATGTATTTATACATATTGGTGATTTGTAATAAAAATTGATTATGTGGTGCTTATGTAAAAAACTTGTTTTGTAAGTTAGACACTATGAATCACAAAATTGACTCATTTATGTATTCAATATAAAAAAATGCACTTATAGTGCTTAAATCACTAGTCTAGTGAGTTGGTGAAGAAATTTTGAAATAAATAATAAAAAATAAAATGTCAGTTCTAAGAATGGATCTCTTATAGAATTTTTAAAGAAAGAATTCTAATATAAATATTTTCTTCTTATATTTGCTAATATAATTTTATAATTTTATAATAGTAATTATTATCATTATTAAATATTTAATATTTAGCCTAAAAACTAAAGAAAATCTTCAATCTAAGTCAATGCAAAAAAAGAATCAAAAATTAAATTATGAAAGAAGGTAGGCAACTAATAAAAAAGAAGGAAAAAACAAGAAGAAAGAAGGGAAAAGAAAGTAGGAAAAAAAAACAAATCTTTACTAGCTAGATAGATATTAATTGGATTTTTTGGTATTGTAATGCACTTAATTTAAATACATCAAAGTTCTTTGGAGGAAAATTAGTTTTATTCATAGGTGGAGAGGAATATAATGCTAATATTTTTACAAATTTGAATGGGATTTAGAGTAGGAGATTATTAACTTGAATGGATTGTTTAAGCTTTGAGAATATTATCTTTTAGGATATATATATATATATATATATATATATATATATATATATATAAAACTCTATTGTAGTTTAATATGAATATTGATGGAAGGTTGGAAAGAATGGAGTAATGGGATTTTTTGGCATCAAGTGAATTTTTTGCTTAGATAGGAGTGGGTAGGAAGGAAGGTTGCTAGAGTTTTCAAGTAGTGAAATTCAAAACTAGTTTGGAATTTTTTATGCCATTTATTATATTTTTATCTTTTTATTTTGAAATTTTGAGAAAAGCTAAATCTTATTATAATTTTTTTAAGAAGCCTTGGTATAAAAAAAAAAAAAAGGTTATGATGAAAGAAAACCAAGTTGATTTGAGGATGGAGGTTTTGAGGAATGTAACTCTTGTAAGCAGCAAACATTTTCTTTGGTTTGGATTTCAAATTTTTTAAAATTATTCATTGATTTTAAAACTTTGAAGTTAGTAGCTTGAGCTAAAGTCAGTAAGCTAATCTTTTTGTAGATTACATTAGTAATAAATAAATTATAGATATTTTAGTAAAAAAAGGTTTGAATTTGAGATTAGAATTAGGAATTGGGTGCATTTTAGCACAAAAAATGAAGTAGCCTAAAAATTCTATTTAACCTTTGCGTTGCACTTTTATATTTGGATTCATTTCAAACAACATTATATTTTTTTGTAATCTACTTGCAATCAAGGATCTTGTGTTCTATAGAGAAGACTTACCTTCTTGACACTGGAGGGGCTTTAAAGGTCCATGGTAGTTTTGAATTCCCACAACATTCTTTCTTCTGTCATTTTTTTTTTTTTTTTTTTTTTTTT